TAAAGTCAAATTCACCAAGTACATCCAGATAACTAGAAACTATATCAGATTCATTTTTTATATTTAAAATTATATCACCTACAGCTATATGCTGTAGATCATCAACAAATTCATTTACATCTGTCGTAGGGGATCTGTAGATTGCCGTAATTAAAATATTGGGCATTATTGGGTTCCTTTAAAAAAATTTCAATTTGTAAGATTTTTGATCCTCCTATTTCATGTATACTATAAATGTTTCTTTAATAAAAACAACAACCCCATTATTTTTATTAACATTACCCTCATTATACACTAAATCGTAACCCTGTAAACTAAAAAATGAAGCGTCGTGAATTTGGTATGTCTCAGTAAGAACTATACAATCATAATTATATTTAAGTTGATTAAGGTGCAGTTTTAGTTCATCTATGTTCTTATTTATACTTTACAGTCTGTTCGCTATACTTACGCGGGTTTCGGATTAACAAAATTATGCAAATTAGTCATTGACAACCAGTTCCAATAAGCCTCTTCCCAAGAAATTAGGTAAAATTGCCCTAATGGTCAGATTTAAATTAAAATAACATTAGGGTAGGTACTAAATTTGTTACAAAAATTGCAGTTGAATTGATTCTTTGCAAGTGTTGACATTGTATGTATATTGTAAATTTAGTGGCAATATTAAAAATGCCTAGATGTGTGTTAGATGTAGATAGTCTAATTTGTAGTGTACATAAGTATTTTACGGATGAAAAAGAAAATGGCGGTCCTTTAAAATCGGTAATGTCTGTACAACAACGCGTATGCGATGCTCTAGGAATTAGTGAAACCAAATTAAGAGGAGTGTTACAAAATCACAATAGTGAACTGCCGAAAGAAGATCACCGCAAAACGAAAGATATTCCAGATAGAAAGAAATTTGAAATTCGTGATACCATTTATCGAATGAGGGCCAACAAGGAACATGTGACCTTAAATACAATTCTCTCGGAATTAATAGATAGAAAATTTGACGACATTGGCAGAACAAGTCTATGGCAAGTGACACATAACTTGGGTTTCAAATTTCAAAAGGAGGATAATAGAAAGGCCCTTTGTGAAAGAAGTTCTGTCGTGCACAAGAGAATTAACTTTCTAAGAAAATATTCTAAATTTAAAGAAGAAGGGGCCAATTTTATATATTTATACGAAACATGGATATTTTCTAGGGATGCAACCAAGAGAATTTGGCAAGATGATAACGTAAAATCCATCAAACATACCGATGGAGAAGGGAAGCGACACATAAGTTTACATGCAGGAGGGAAATCGGGTTTTATAGAGGGTGCTGATTTAATATTTTCATCTAAATCAAAATCCAGTGACTATCACGATAGTATGAACACAGAAATGTTTGTAAAATGGTTGCATGAAAAACTTCTCCCAGGTTTAAGTGAGCCCAGTGTAATTATTTTAGACAATGCACCTTACCATTCTGAAGTATTAAACAAAAGTCCAACGAATTCTTGGACTGTTGATAAAATTAAAGAATGGTTGACAAAGGAACATATACCATCTCCTCAATATATATTAAAATCAAAATTATTACGCTTGGCAAATATACACGCAAAACCAAAAACCTTTATTGTGGATCAGATTATTGAAAGTTACGGTCATCAAGTTTTACGTCTACCTCCGTATCATTGCCAGTTTAATCCCATCGAATATATATGGAGAATACCAAAACAATATTATGACAACCATATTGGGCCTAATGGTTATAGTGACGACGCAGTTCGGGAAACTTGGCGAAAAGCACTTTCAATTGCAACTCCAGAAGTGTGGCGGAACTGTATATTCAAGTGCGAGAAACTAATAGAAGATTGTTGGACTCGTGAAAATAAAATAAACGAAATAAGTCCAATCATAATAACAATTAATGGTGATGACACTGATGATGATGACGATTATGATATTTTGGATGATAATGACTGATTTTCATTTTTGTTGGCAAGTTCAATTTTTTTATTTTTCATTTGAAATTCTCTACATGGAACAAATTTTTATGTTAGAAAATATTTTATTTGAGTTAAATAACCCTCTTATTATACATAGACCATATTTTCTGTGTAAAGTGTAATATAATATTATTATTAGGTTTATTAGACTCCATTAATGAAGAAGTTTAATTCTGTTCTCAATTATACAAAAGATTCTCCATTATTATTTAATTAAAAAGTTGTACATTATTTTTCATTTCATTTAACCAGTTGATATTTCCCCAAAGAACAGGTCAAACTTTCGGGTACTTACCTGAAAATACTCATAAAATTTTTAATCCGAAACCCGCGTAAGTATAGCGAACAGACTGTACTGACTAATTCCTATCTATTATTAAGAAACAGTACTTTGATAGAAAAAAAAAACAAAATAAATTAAAATCTAGTATAGCTACAAAGTTGATGTCTATAGAAAAGTTGCGTCTGTATACAAAAATTTAAAGAACATCGATAGAGAGACAAAATCAACAAAATTAATGTATTTAATGCGAGTGATCGGTTTCTTTTATGGAAATATTAAATATTCTTCACAAATAAGTCAATTTATGCATTGTAACCAGAATCTTTGAAAGAGTTAAAACCATAAACCTTAACAAATAACTTCACAAATGTTCATTAATGTTCGAAATACAAAATTTGTGTTTTGGTAATGGTGTAAGATTAATTGGACTTAACTATAAATATAAAAAAATCCTTCAAAGTAAACATTTCGTTTTATATGAGGCATATAATTTCGGAATAAAAATTATTATAATTACAAATCAAAAATGTAGGTTTATTAGAAAAGGAATGTTTAAAATCTTTGGAGATGAAATGGATTCTTTTATCATTATTATTCATAAACGTAGAAAATGTTCGTTCTTTAAATGAGTTTGCAAACTGATTAAGTTAGGTCACAGATTTATAAATTTTGTCAGCATTTGCATTCTTTAACTGACAATCTAATTAAATATGAAGACCAAAAGTTAAATAATATTGCGTATTTTTGGTCTTTGTTAATAAAAGAATGAAAATTACTTAGATATGGGTTTCAGTGGAGACACATTGTCAAGCAAATCCATAATATTCGTTAAGTTAATAAAAGATCGTAAGTAGATTGTAAAGTATTCCTCAACTATAGGAATTAAATTTCTTAATTTTGTTAAATCGGTTAATGACATTATATTTACCTCTAACTTTTTAATTGATTAAGTTTTAGTTTCTTCCGTACTTCAGGAAATGGCATTATAATAAGTTTTAATAACAGGTATTTCATTTAAAAGTGTAGTGAATTAAATTATAAAAATTTAGCAAAATTGCTATATATTTAATAGTTTCAAAAAAAATTTATTCATTTAAAAACAATTAATATATCAGTTTGGCGGTTTAAAATTAAATAACTTAAAGAATGTAATAAGAAAATAATAATAAATACAAATTCATTGACCATAATACAAAAGTAGACAAAAATATTTCATAATGCAAAATTCACAATCACAAATCCATTTATATTATTAATATTATTAGGGATCTAAATTGGCATCAAACAAGTTTTGTATCTGATTAGGGTATTCAAATTTTGATGAACAAGTTTTCTGTTAGTAGAATAATAGTAAAATTGAAAACCATTTCACACAGCGAAAACGTGAGATTACGCACATATGGTGAGAAAGAATAGTAAAAAAATCAGAGTAGAATATTAGAACAACATGAACCAACAATGTTTGTCTTATTTTTTTTTTATTATTGTACAAGTTTAACTATAAAATAATATTTTTGGTTATACTTATATTATTTAATTTAAATTAAAAAATATAATTTTAAAATGTGGATTAATTTATTAATTTTTGTTTAATTATGAATGTAGAAAAATTTAATTACTTCAATTAACCGATATTTTTGAATAAAAAATTAAATTCCATTTTATAAATTTTACTTTTAAGTTAAAAAAACATAAAAACATTGTGTGTATTTAAAAATCACAAAGATTCATATTTTAAAAATAAAACTATGGCTTTTTACTTGAACTTGTCCACTAAATATTATAAATTGAAAATTAATATTTCGTTATATAATTGCAATTAAAGTTTCTAGAAAATATTTTAATTATTTAAAATATAAGTAATTAAAAAATAATTCAGAACTATATACCGGGTGTTCAAATTAAATGTTACAGTTAAATACCGCCGAAAATATGCATTTTAGAAAAAAGTTTCAGACAAAAGTTTTATAGTTGTTTGGGGAAACATTTTGGCTAAATTAATTTTTTTATAGCTGGCCATATCGCGGTGGACTTTGTTTTTTTAAATGGGAATCCATTTTTTTTACATATTCTTAAAGTACATAAAAAAATAAGAAACTTTTGATGAAAATATTTTTTTTATTGGACTTTTACTTTTTGAGTAACAGCTACTTGAAAATTTTGCTGGGCGAAAAAAAATTGGCAATATTATGGTTAGCTATAAAAAACGATTTTAGCCAAAAATTTTTCCCCACAACACTATAAAACTTTCGTCTGAAACGTTATTTTTATAAAAGGCAGTATACACTTTAATTTGAACACCCGGTATAATACAAAGCAATATATTGAATTTAGTAATTCCCTATTTATTTTACATTAAAAAGCAAAAAATAATTATAAAATTAAATTTATATATATTGTCCAGTCTATAAAACTTAAACATTAAATAATTTACACATTTTACTTTTCCTCGGAAAACTAAATTTATTAAATTGAAAAATGTATAAATCTTATGCCTGATCGGCAGCCTAAAAAACTGAATATATTAAAATAAAAAATATTTCTAAAATTTTATTTCAAAAAGAAACTAAAGTTTGTATATTAAAAAAAAATTGTAAAACACGAAAAATAACACTAATGAAAATTTGAAATTTCCCGATTTAAAACATAAAAATATAAAATGTTAATTTATTAAATCTAATCAGAAGTGGGATTAACACGGAATTTATCTACTACAAAATTATTAACAATCTACTCACATGAACTTCCAAAAGCAATAAAATAGAACAAATTTCTTTGAAAACTCTTATCAACAGTCTGTTTGAATTTTGGTTCCTGTTCTTTTATATGCACTTCGTGGTAGGGCGCCTACGTACAGTAGCCATATTCTGCGCACACATCAATTTCCCAGACATATCTCAATGTGATTGTCATTGCACAATTAGGAGATATATCATGGTGTAGATAATACTTAATTGAATTTTTCAGTATACAAATATTGGGAAAACTGTCGATATAACTTTTAAAGAAAATGTGTTTTTCTTATTTTCTAAATATACGAAATGTACAAGGTGAAAATTTAAAAACTTAAAATGGCGCTCTATCTTTTGAACTAAAGATCGTATCAAAAAATGCTTAAAACCAATTCTAGGGTACGAAATGAGAAAATAGGTACATATTTCATCTCTTTTGCGCCGCCTACCTCAGCAAAAAATAAATAAATAGCCACCCAATATTTGTTATACATCATTGGAAAGCTAGTAAAAATATTTTTCAACGATATAAGTTATACCCTATACCGAGTATTAAAACTCCCAGGCTGGATATATTGGAAAATAATAGAGATATTTTAATTCTGTAAAAGCGAGTTTTTAGAACAGTGAAAAAGCTTCAGTTTTGGATGTAAATTGATTTTATTGATGTCAATATGTAGATGGTGCGGTGCTCAATAATTTCAAATGTAGTTGGTCTTGTAAAAGATGCATTTCTAAGCCGATATTATTTTATAATCTAATTCAATAGATCTAACCATTTTCGATATTAAGTCAAAACATTGCTTTTTTCAAACAACAAAAATTGTATTAATCCATATTTTTGTATTTATTGGAAACAATAATGCTTTTACAATGGAGTCTGTCTCTATTATAACAACCTGTATTTTTTTAAATTTAAAGAATTAAAATATCTTTATTCCTTTCCAAAATATACGGCCCGGGATTTTTTTTGGTATTAGCAAATGAATACGATTAATTATGGAATTAAAACATCTAAAACCTACCAAACAAACAAAAAGAATGTAATGCGAGCCATTTTCGACCAGTCTGGTAATTTTCTAGTCCTTTACTGCCTTAAAGTTTCCACTTTTACGGATACCAAGAATATTTGATGAAGTTTTCCAAACCCCATATGGAACGACTAAGGTATCGTCGGTCGTAATGAATAATTCATTCTAGAAAGCACTGAACCGATTACGACAGCCTCTAGACAACAATTTTGGTGAATGCGATATTCTATAAATTGGTGATATCTGTAACGTATATTTATATTAATAATAATACTAATAATAAAAGGTCCATATTTTTAAATCCTTGGCGAAGTCCAGCTTATAGCAGCTCTACTCAATCGAGTACCAAATTACAATAAATTACTAATAATTAAAATTGATGCAATATAAAATTGATACAATATAAAACAGATACAATATAAAATTGAGACAATATAAAATTGATACAATATAAAATGATACAAAATAATATTGATATAACATTAATACATATAATATAAAATCAATATAAAAATAGAACATTAATACACAAAACAGAATTAATACAAAAAATATAAACAAACAGATAATGAAAGTATATGTATGGTGAAAATATATGTACCCAGACAACACACATAGTCCAATGGACGTCCACCTTAGATCCATTTGAGGGCCAGAACGTTCATATCGGTATTCAGACATCCAGTGTACGTTCGTTTATGATCATTAATTTGACAGCTGCATGTAGATACCCAAAGGACGTCTGTTTTTGGACTTAATTTTAAGTTTAGTATTACTTTGACGTCCAGTGGGACGTCCATGTTAGGTCATTATTTATTTAGCCTACCAGATAATATCCATCTATATGTAAAAAGTTTTTTTAATAGAATTGGTCATTAAAAATTAACAAATAAATCTATTACATTTTATTCTATCAGCGTAAGTTTGAAATCTTATTCTATTATAACCGTTTCCTTGGTCGAGGTCGCCTAGCGCTTGAATGCCTAGAACGACAATGAACGTGTCGTGAGTTCAAAACCTGCTCTGGTCAAGTGATTTTTAATAAAAAAATAAATAAATGGTATATATCGGGTTGCAAAAATAATAAATACATTGTTAATAATATAATACTGTGTGGTGAGTTGCGGTTGTGTAAAAAAAAAGTGAGGATGTGGTTTCCAGGAATGGATGTTTTTTGAATGTCCAGTTTTCAACGTCCAAATATAATCCAGAATTGGACGTCCTATGAATAGTCAAAAGTGTGCCATTTGTATACTTCACTGGACGTCCATTGGAGGTCGGGGGTCCCGAAAAACTCAGCTTTGGACGTCCAGACATCAAAAATTGTATATCGAATGGACGTCAGTGGACCTATTTGTACTGTATGGGTATGGTGAAAGTATATGGTGAAAGTAATAAAGTAAAAGGGGATTCTCTGTATCAGTAACATGTTGTGGGTTAACCCACGGCACTTAGGCTTCACTAGGCCCATTTTGCATCCTCCTAAGATAGGCACCTCCTAGCTCTTCAGTCAGCCTACAGATTTAATGTAGTTGACAACGTCGACAAGAGATGCTTCTCTTATATCAACCGGTGTTAGCTAATTCTTGCCGATAACAAATCAAATATTCTAATAAATAAGAACGTCGGGCAATCGTAGAAGATATGCGGATTCTGACAGCCCCATGATATGGAGATGCTTCTGTACTTGGCAATGTTCAGTCAGAATGCCTGTAATCATCACAGATTCTGTATAGTCATAATCAAGTATTTATTTGCTGTAGTATTGTCAGGAACTTAAAAGTTCCCTGGCAAGTTTGCAGCTTCTTGTTTCATCCCATCTTTAATTGAATTTCACAAGGGAATGTTCTTTGATTAGGTCTGTCACTACCGATTTTGTTAGGCCAATAGAAGGGCCAGGTCCAAAAAGTATTTGGTTGGCTGCTTTCTTGGCTAGTGAGTCAGCAAAACGGTTACCTTTCGATGTGGCGTGACCTTTGATCCATCTTAAGTTGACCACATTGTTGATGGATACTTGGACCAAAGCTTCGTGACATTCTAGTATTAATCATGAATTCATGAATAAATATATATTCCACATCCTGAGTCTTGTTTTGTTTTGTTTTGTTTTGAAACCGTCGGTGTAGATATGAATCGTACCTGTCACTTCTGGCTCTTCTATTTGTTCTTTTATAATTTTATATGGCTTATGGAAGATATATCTCGGTGAGATGGAGTCCATGTTCGCTTGAAGCATTTTATTAAATTTATGGAAGGTGATATGCGGTCATATGTTCTTTTGTTACAAACAAGTCGACAACTCGAATTTTGTATTTTTTGTAAACGGTTTGCAGTAACTTTTCCATGTTAAATGTTAAATGTTAAATATTGTTTACTTGCATATAATAGACTTAAACGAAAATAACAATTTTTAGACACTTGAGAAACATGTTCAAAAAATTTCAAATTTTCATCTTAATACAAACCCAGATTCTTTTGACAAGAAGAAAATTTAATTTGTTCTCCATTTACGCTGATTTGCATGACCGTTTTAAGCATATTCTTATATATTTTTGGAGAAAACAACAAAGATTTTGATTTTGTAGCATTTAATTTCAAACCATGTCCTTTCACGCATTCAATTATTTTATGCAAATCTTCATATTCGGAAGAATTGAAATAAAAATATAATTGAGTGTCATCGGCAAATAACTGTTTTTTGCAAAATTGTAAACCTTTAGTCATATCAAATGTGTTTAAAAGGAAGAGAAGAGGCCCTAGCACAGAGCCCTGGGAACGCCAAAGCAAATAGATTTTCGTTTGGAACATTTATTACCAATAACAACTTCGGTTAGTTAGTTAGTTAGTTAGTTAGTTAGTTAGTTAGGTAGCATTTGACGAAATTAAGAGGCATGGTATCAAATCCAAGTTATTTGCATTTAAATAAAAGAAATTTGTGTCTAATAGTATCAAAAGCTTTACTGAAATCTAAAACAACTAATACAGTTGACATATTGTTATCAAAGGAAGTGATAATGTCATCACATACTTTTGTTAGGGCTGTTACTGTACTATGACCACTTCTGAATCCTGATTGATCACCAACTATCAATTCAAAACTGTTAACATTTAACTTTTTCTAATATTTTTGAAAGTATGAATGATAAGCTGATAGGACGTAGATCATTGAATGGCTTAGGATTGGATACTTTAGGAAGTGGCGACACTAAAGCTTCTTTCCAAGAATTAGGGAAGAAGCCAATCTCAAGACAGCAATTAATAGTATGAGTGATATGACCTATAACTGTTAACAAAGTTTAAGCATTTGTAGAGTAATGCCACCCGCTTCTTTAGCATTGCTTTTCATTTGTTGTATTATTTTTAAAATGATTGATGTATCCGTCATTCTAAAAGAAAAAGTGTTTTCTGTATTATGTTTGTTATGTTGATAGTAATCAATATTGCATGAACATGCAGTTTCATCATTTTCAAAAACTGATATAATATGGTTATTTAGATCATCGGGATTAGACAAGTATGTTGGAATGTTCGGTTTGGTGTATTGTATTTTAAAATCTTTTAGAGCTTTATAAACGATAGATCTATTTCCTTCATTTGACAAGGAATACAAATATGCAGCTTTTTCTCTACGCAGCAAAGCTTTTGCATAGTTTCTTAACTCTCTATAATTTTCCCAACTAACAGCTGTTTTCAATCTTCTATATTTTGAAAACGCTTTATTACATAACTTCAGAATAAGTTTTAAATTGTCAGTTAACCAGGACGCTTTAGATTTACTTACTTTAATAGTTTTTATAGGTGCATGAATATCGAATATAGTTTTGCTCTATAGGATTTGATGGATGCCGTATTAGCAGAAATTTAATTTCTGTCGATATGAAATCCAGATTAAAAAATCGCCATGCGTTACCATTTCGATTATGGTGGGTAGGGTTTTCCGGGTTTTGCTCACCTGTAAGTCAAATGGCACCATAAATCATCTTTAAGTCGACCCAGCGCGCCAGGGGTTGAAATTCACTCGGA